CTCCAGAAGACAGAGACTATGGATGCGTCTGGCTTTCATAACAGGATGCAGGATAATACTGAGGCACTGGAAGTCATCCAGCCCCTGTTCTCTCAGGGAATGGACTGAACAAATGTCTAAGATGGCATTATATGAACGGGTTGTGTAAAGAATTAAAGGGAGAGAAGATATTTTTGAGCAGGTCTGGGGTTTTTAGGCACCTGGGTGTTTTGCCCCTTTTGCTTTTGTTTTTGCTGGTGTTTTTTTGTTTGTTTGTTTGTTGGTCTTCCTTTTGGATTTCTTTAGTTATTGTTAGCCCTTATTTGTCGGTTGTTGTTAAGAAACGGACAGAGAACTGACAATATGATTATTCCTTGTTGTATATCTGTTAATGTTTCTGTCCATCCAAAACATGAATAAAAAAAAAAAGGAAAGACATCCGGTGTAAAAATCTGCCAAATCAAACATGTGGAGCTACCTGCTGTGGTGACCCTTGGTGAATATGGAACAGCTGAAAGAAGTTTATTTTTTCTTTCATCTATCTTTTTATCAAGCTTTGTTCATCCATCATGGGTTAATATTGCCCAAACTGTGGGCACAAGGAACAATGCACACAATTAAGCACCTAATATGTAGTAACTGCCCTGCAGTAGTATTCTTAAAATAAAGGAGTCGAAGATGTTGTTATTGTAAATGAATCGAAGGGAAATATGGGAGTCACTGTATATTTCTATACAGCAATATTTGTTTACATCTATGCAAGATAAAGGGATGAAATTGACCATCCACTACCTGAATAACAAATCACACACATTTTTATCTATCTGTCAGCAGCGTGCACCTGACAATAACATGCATGCTTTTTGATATGGAAGGTAACTTTGTATTGTGGATGAATGCACCTTGCTTTAAAACCCAGCACATTTATATATTTATTTATCTGAAATTAAACTTATGATATTGTTCCTAATTACAGTAAACCTGGCTTCAGTCCATCAAATGATGCAATGTAACATTTATACTGTAAACATCACCATTTGGGGATGTCTAAAACGTAAACAGTATATGCCAACATATTTAATACAGATGTATTTTTCATTTTACTAGTGATGGGATTATTATGTAACTAGATTATTTTAAATAAAATTGCTTTGAAGTATGTATAGGCGTGTATATATCTACATTCATGCACCAGCTTTTGTATGGTGTTAAGGGTGCATAAATGCTACAAATGGATCATTTCAGCCAGTTGGTATTTTGTTTGTGAAGGAGGAAACATCTTATGCTGCTTAACTGTGTTTGAGTACCTGGTTTCAAAAAACAGACAGAGATGGTTGTGCATTAGAAAAAAAAAAATACTGTCTGCATTAATGGTAATACAACAGACAATAGTGAAATGTGATCATCAAATGTGTTACTAGGGTGTAGCCTTAAAACCAGCAGTTAATTTGTTCTGCTGTGAAAGCTGATCTTAAATAAAGGTATGAATGTTGAAATGTTGTCTGAATAAGTGTCTGCAACACCTTTATCCTAGAAAGAAGACTACCTAATAGGATAAACACACAATTATGAATGTACTTGAATGTCTGGGAATGCACTAACTGTGCTTGAGATCCTGTTTAACTTAGAATAGGATGAAGACCTGGGGCTTCAGGATCTACAATATTGGATTTTTTCCACATTGTCCTGACTGGACTGACTGAGTATCAGGGGGATACTGATATGATTAGTTCTGCAACTACAAATATGTTTGGTTAGTAGTCTGTAAAGAAAGACTGATGAACCTGGCCAGGATTTACCCCCATCACCTTGTAAAATCTGTGCCAAATGACTTATGTCATCATGATCTTTTGGGAAATACTAAATCAAATGCTTTAATGACATAAAAGGAATAAACTGAAAGGTTCAGAAAAAACAACATTTTTACTGTTTAATATCTGGACTGCACTTAATCTATGGCTGAGATGTTAGAGCTAACCTTACAAAGCAGTCACCATGTTTACACATGTTTTTGAGACGTTAACCTTTTACTGCTAAAACTATCTAGTCAAAATAATAATGTCACATTTTTATTCACTTGTCTTGATTAGTCTTTGCTCCTTGATATGTGTTTTAAACACTCATTCCAGTACCTGATGTCCTCTATCAGTTTTCACATATACTTCTTGTGCAGTTTCTGATCCTGGCCCACAGAGCAGTTAAAACACAGAATACCAGAATATTATTTCCATTTAGCATAAAGACTTAATGAACGCTCACTAATTAACAGTTTTACAGAGAGTTGTGTGCTCAATTGTGTCTTGTCTAGGGACAGAAATGAAAAAAATAAAATAAAATTTAATGATCATGGAGTGTACTACGCCTCTGCCGAACCCTAATTCCCTCCTGGACTTGTTCCCCACATCTTTTGGACTGGGTGAACTCTCTGTTGCCCAGTCTAACTTCACACAGAAGATCATTTTCTTCAGACTCCAGCATTTCTCTTCAACTTTAAAGTATTAAAAAAAAGATCAGTGTTATCTGTTGGATGTTTGATTTGTTGTCTCTGTCCATCCAAAATAATCAGACTTCTCTACAAAACTCACCCAGTGAAATAATGAAAATGTAATTTTATGGGTGTCATAGATTGATCCATCAGTGAGTCTGTCGTGTAAAAGGATGTATGGCAGTTGTGGAATTAAAAGAAAATATATCGTTGCAACATGGCTTGCATTTAGCATTTATTTTATTGTGTTTAATAAAATCATTGTTTGACTGAACTAATCTGGGACAGTGTTGGTTTGTTCTTATCCTCAATATTAAAGAATCAGGACACAGTGTATTGTAGAATGAAAAAGAAACTTAGAGATCATGCTGTAACAAGCAAACTCCCCTCAGAGAGACAGAGATGCAGGAACGGGGAGTTTTATAAAAGAGCTGAGCACACCGGACTGAAAACGCTCCACTTTAAACCATCATCAGTATCAACTTTCTTAATGTTTTTATTGTGTTTGTTAATGTTCAGTGAGGTTACAGAATGTGGCATTTGAAACCAACTGCTACTTAAAAAATGTTGCTCCCTTCTGTAGGGCTAGCTTGGTGCTGATACCTGCACTTGCTCTGGTGACACTTTAGCCTTATAGTATAAAAGCTATAAAGGATACTGTTTTGAACATTCAAGCAGGAGAAAGTAAAAATATTTGTATAAAAATGTAGGGAGTAAAAGCCAATGAAGGTAATACTGGACTTTATAGACTCATTCTTTCAGCCATGCTGGCATTGTTGTGGATATTAATGCTAGTCTGTCAGTCCGTTAATAAAGTGCTTTGGATTGTTATTTTGTCATGACTTGGCTGTTCCAGCCATTCCTCTCTTGCTTCCTGGCAGTGTGTGACAAGAGTCTTCATTTCCTCAAATCCTGCTGGGAATTTAGGGACCAGGCTGTTACATCAGCCTACATTATTGTACCTAGTTATGCAATCAGTCCTCTCTTTATCCTACTTCTCTGTGGATTCCTGTTAAGAAGATTAAACTCTTACTTGACGTAACTTACCTGCCTAACTACTCTTGATAGCACACACTAGAAGAACTTACCTCTACACTAGCAGTAAACACCACCTGGTCAGTATGAATGCTGCATGCATCAGAGCTTAACACCCATGAATCACCTTTTTTCCAGAAATGATGACAAACCAAGCAATGGCTCAATGGCTTCAGTTTACTGGAGCTGAGGTTTGAAAGGGTTTTATGTTGGATTTATCAGTCTTAACAAAGGTGTTTTATTTAATTTAAATGTTAACTGTAACCTGAAAATTGACAGCTATAGAAAAAAAAGAATACTAAATGTGTCAGAATAAAAAGTTTCACAGAACAAGAAATTACAAGTATTGCCTAAAGTGCTAAAATGTTTGCTGTTGTGAGCAGATGGTTTTCTCAGAGCTATAACAGGAAACTGCTCAGAAACCCAAGAGCTGAACAAGGAAACCACAGTTTTCAGCTGTTTCTCTTTTCCTGTAATGTTAGATCAGTCGATTTTCTTCTGTTGTCGATCTGGAGGGCCCACAACCCCTGTACAGGAAATTTCTTTTGATTATTAAAAAGTCTGAGTCTTCTGTGCTCAACCATTACAACATTTAACATGATTTCTGTTGTTCAAAAGTATAACAGGGATCAGAGACATAGTTCTTATCTCCTTGGTCCGAGACAAGAATATAAAAGGCTAATGATGGATCACATTTACATACACAAAATCTTGAAATTTCCACTACTCGGGATGAGCAGTTTTAAAGTCCGTCGATGAGACAATGCCTCTGTCAGTGCGCCCCAGGGTGGCTGTGGCTACAATGTAGCTTGTCATCACCAGTGTGTGAATGTGTGTGTGAATGGGTGGATGACTGGATATGTAAAGCGCTTTGGGGACCTTAGGAACTAGTAAAGCGCTATATAAATACAGGCCATTTACAATGGTTATACTTACACAAAGAGGCCTGTGGATTTTGGAAGAAGTAATCAAATATTTGCAATTCTGCTAAACTTTTCCTGCTGGTTGTGGTTTGAAAGAGGAACATGGGTCCATTATAATACAATAATATAGGCTTATGACTGAAGGAAAATAAATTTGGTCAACATCCTCTAGGAAGCATAAATGTGTTCAGTATATTTTATTGCATTCTGTATGTTTCATTTGCTGGTAACCAAGAGAAACAGCCACACCACTCAGGGGTAACCAAAATGTATTAAGTTCATCCAACGGTGATGGTGCATTACAAGGCGTTTTTTGAACACTATTGGAACCAATGATTATTAATTTAGACAGCTGGAATGAGAAATATGCTAATTCTCGTGTAATGTGCATCATAGGTCCTTGAAATGTTCCTTGAAAAGTGAATTCTAACGAGAAGTTGCACAAGTTTTGACATCAGTATTTCACTTTTGAAAGTTGTATGGGTTTGTATGTGTGGGGTGACAACAGCCTGGTGACAAACAGTTGATGAGTTTTCTGAAAATCAGGAAATCCTTTTAAACTTCCTGTCTCACACAGACAGACACGCAGCGCAAAAGTCAGAAAAGTAACTCTGTGTTTGTGGCTACAAAGTAACAAAATGAGGACTTCTGATGGTCGCATGTGACAATACACGACCCGACGAGTGATTGCACATATTCCTGTAAGTATAAAAGATATTTTTACATACTTCCTACTCAGAAACATCCACTTCCACTGTATATCGACAAGTATTATGTCACATTATGAAGAATGTGTTTGATCTATGGATTAATCTGTCTTTAGCTCTTTATAAATGGCTATTCAAAGAAGCTTTTACAGCATGTCCATATTGTGGGATATTTTTCTATAACAGTGACTCCTTCTTAAGTTGTTATGGTGATCTTTAAAAAAATAATAATAAAAAAACATTCTTAAAATTGATCCTAATATACGGTATTTGAAAGACAAAGTCAAATAAATGTACTTATTACATTGAAACGTAAGTCACATGTTCTCACATAGTGTTAATTTGGGCTACGGCAAAGCGTGGTAACCAGTTTCACTTGAGGACGGGAATCCCCGCAAAACTACAATTGACTTTTCAAAAGCTTTCTGAATGCTTTTATATGGATGTGAATACTGAATATGGGGTCTGTCCAGGTTTACATCATATTCGGTATATGATGTTTATCTAGAATGCAGGGTTATGCATATTACTGTATAGCATACGACTTCATCCTATACAAGCAGGAGCCTGCATTAAGGTTTACAAACACAAATTGACATTTAAGGACTTACCTTTAATTAATTTGAGTGCTACTGAAAGGAATAGTTATCCTGTTAATATTTGGTAAATGTTTCCTGTGAGCTCTCTGTCACAGATCAGTATTTGATCTCTTTTAACAAAAGTATTAAGCAAAAATTTAAATATGATCAAAAATATTAATTATATTAAAGAGCTTGGTGGAAAAACATAAAAAATAATGTTGGCTATTACCAATAATGTAAATCTATGACATAAACCTTACATTGGATGCTGGTCTAATTTATCTGTGTATATATAATTATGCAATATATTTGCATGTGGACAATATTTTTTCAGCTCCAAGATTATGTTATTTTCTCTTTTTATTTTATTATTCTCTTTTTCATCCTTGCAATTATTTCCCATACAGACATTTCTTGCAGCCCAGAGCAATATTTAAGTTTATTCCCAGTATTTTACAAAACATTAAACATTTTTGTTATTTTTAAGAAACACCACAATAACAGGTTCTTGATCCTAACAGAATAGTACACTGTAATTTTATCAAGCATTGTTTACGTAGACCACCAGAGAGTTCACTGCTACAGTAAACTGCATAAACACTTCACTGAAATTGTCTTGTAAAAGCACTATTAGTGTTACAAGCTAAAAAGTTAATTTAAAAAAAGCATCCACTGATCTTGGTAAAGATAATATTAAGAAAAGAAAAGACAGCCAAAGGGTGCAGCACCTCAATAGTGATGCACATGATTCCACAATAAAGTAAGGTGCCATCATAAATCACTCTGCCCCAAGTGTGCACACTGGTTGACATAAGAACCAGTGTTAAAATCACTACTATAATACCATTAATCACCAATAGAAACAAAACAAGCAATGTATTAGAATTAGAAGGACAATTAAGATACTATTAGATAATAATTTGAGCTTAATTGGAATTCAAAAGAGAAAAAGACAGTTAGATTCACAGGTAACATAAGTATAACAAATATAAAAGTATGCTATGTCTTTTGTTGACACAGACCAGGTAGGTACAGGTCTGTTTTGTCAAAAGAAGACCTTTGACATTAATGTATACATGGGTACTGCCTGATGCATGGCTTTTTGTTACCTCACAGTCTCCCACTAACACACCCATTATTCCTCAGCACTAACGAATCTATGAAGGACCTGACTAATCAAGAAAACTACTTAGGACTACACCCTCCTGTGACTTTTCTCCTAATTTATGTTGTTTAAGGTCACAAATTCCTATACAGTTAGCAAGAAAATCCAGTGGTAGTTATCTTTGTAAACAGTCTTTCCAACACATCCCAGTCAGCATTTATATACATACATTTGGGAAATAGGATATGAAACATTTCTTTGGTTTTTGTCCAAGATTTTAATTATTAAGCATTTGGGGCTTTTCCAGGCGTCTGACACCATGTCGTAATGCACCAAGGTACCTTAAAACCTGATTTGAGCCATGACACTGATTCTTATGACACGATGAGTCATAAGCCTATACTGTAAACACTACTGTGATACAATAACACCTTATAACAATAATCTAGGTTTTTTTTCCTGAGTCAATGGGGTTTTATAGAGCTGAATCACTCCCTTGTCATGTACGTGCTGTGCGAGCAGCCAGATTTGGAACCCACAATGCAGGACTTCAGAAACAGAAAAAAATCCCTCTGAACCTGAACCACACAGCATGTAGGTATGAGGGACGATGCAATAAAGGGAGATTGAGATAATATATACACACCGAGTAACAAGGGAAAAGGAAACACTGATTACAGGGGAGGGGACAAGAAAAGTTAAACTGAACGTAGCACGTATTTGACAAGGGGCTATAAAAATAACACACCAAACTAACAATGAGACGGAGACTGAGACATGCAACCTTGACACTGACCAAAGAGGAAAACAAATGTCTGACTAGGAACAGAAAGGGGAACGAAATATAGGGCGACACAACTGAACGAGAAACCTTGGTTAACTTAACAGAGGAGAACAGGAGGACGTGACAGGGGACATAGGGAGACAAACAGCGAACAAATCAGGGAAGATGAGACAGAGAGAGTAAAACTAGAGTTAGAGGACAGGAGGACAAAAGACCAGAGGAAATACCAGGTGACAGGCCAATAAATGAACCTAACAGGGAAACAGTAAAGCATATAAGATGCTGAAAGGTAAGGCTGATGCACATATGAGACAAAGGACAAAACATAGATGAGACAAGAACAGACAGGAAACCAAGAACAGACTAAATAAGAAGCTGGACCTGTGAAACAGTTCCTGACTCAATGACTCAGGAACATTACTAATCTAAAATGGATGAAGTCAAGCTTTGTGGACGTCACAAGAACAGAATAACCTTTTATTGTCACTGTACGTGTACAACAAAAAACAGTTGGAAAACAACTCAGTTATTCAGCATTAGTTATTTAACTCTCCATTTTTTTTACTTTTATGTCAACGCTTCAGCCAATCAAGTCAAAATTGAACCTTCCATGTCAGAACATAAAATGTTCAAGTTATTCCAAGGATTTCTGATTTTCAGTGTAAGTTAATATAAAAAAGGTCACCTGACTACTGACCTCTAAATACATTTTCTGATGTTTATCTGTTGGCTTTATTTTCTGAAGTAACCATGGATCTCAGCGAGGAAGAGTCAACTCCTCTGGTGATCAGAGACCGCGGAGGCAGCCAGAGGTCCAGTTCAAGCACTGTTCCTAATTTACAAGTCAACTTCTTCCCTGTCAAAAAGGAAGCAACAACATTACAGATCACATCTGGACAAATATCTGCTGAAAATGTCTGCATCCAAGCAGGGAAGAAATGTGGTAAGACTGTAATGCATTATGTATTATGTAAGTCACTAATTTTTGTCAGCCATATTCATTATTGTGGGGTTTTTTTCCTCCAGGAATCTTGCCGGTATACCTAAGTCTATTTGGTTTGGCATCTGAAGACCTCTCATTTTGGTATCCTCCTTCTCACATGTTTGACACTGATGAAAACTTAAAAGTCCATTTCAGAGTCAGGTGGGTGTCAAAATGCCTTATTTGATGAGAAAATATATATATATATTTAAGATTCAAATTCAACTTTTCAAATGCTTGTTAATGCGCAGTTTGGCATGTGGACACGGTTAAAACAACTTGCTGAAGTTCAACTCAAACGTCAGAATGGGGAAGAAATGTGATTTAAGTGACCTTGAACACAATATAGCTGTTTGTACCAGACGGACTGATCTGAGTATTTATGAAACTGCTCTACTGGGATCTACCCCACACAGTCATTGCTAGTGTTTGCAAAGAATGGTCTGAAAAAGAAATAAATAACCAATGAGTCAAAGTTCTCTGGGTGAAAAGGACTTCTTGATGTCAGAGGTCGGAGAAGAATGGCCAAAGTGCTTTGAGCTGATAGGAAGACAACGATAACTCAAGCAACTGCATTACAACCAAGACACAGAAGAAAATCTCTGAACCGGGTGCCACTCCTGTTAGCTAAGAACAGGAAACTGATGCCACAGCTCACAAGAGCTCACCAAAGTTTGACAACAGAAGATAAAGTGACAGACAGATAAAGTGGCTATTGAATATTCTTTCATTTGATGAATGTTTAGTGCATCAACTCCTTATACTTAGAATGTTGCTATAAATAATTAGAGTTTGGAGTACTAGTTGAAAGGTTTTTAATGGATCCTGATGTAAAGGTTAGTTTTATATGATTTGATATGCAATGGAGTTCTTTTGTGTTTGAAGGTACTTCTTTGGAAATTGGTTTGGGCAAGAACCAAGATCTTCATACCGCTACAGTTTGACTAGAGACAGAATCAGTCCAGTACTCGACTACAGTGTCATTGACTATCTTTTTGCCCAGGTAAAGTACTAAATAATGATATTATTTTCAAATATATTAAGTAAAGATTTTTATTAATTAACATAATTAATTTAAATTATGTTATACTTTATGAAATTCTTTATTTTATTTTAATTTTAAGAATCGAGACTGATAGAAAGTGATTAGATAAATGTTTTTCTATTTTAAGTACCGATTTCTAGTAAGATGAAATATTTACAATTTCTATTATTGAAAATGGTGAGATTCTTCAATTTAATTCATTAGCAAAAGTTTATCCAACCATGTACTGTCTTTGTTGCTTTGAGGTGTCTATTAGTTTTGGTTTTTGTAAAACTGATAGATTAATGTACTACTGCACAATGTAACACAAGTTGTGGCCACAAAAAAACTGCATGCTTGTTATACTAGTAGATGTGACGATAATAAGTCCAATTGATTTCTTTTGGTGTTTAGCTTCGAAATGACTTCATTGAAAGTAAGGCAGGCATAGCCCCACCATTGACTCTTCAGGAGGAATGCCTTGGCCTTGCAGTGCTCGACTTGTGGAGAATGGCCAAGGAGCGCAACCAGAGTGTTAGAGAGCTCTGCAAGACTGTCAGGTATTTACAGTTGAGACTGTATCATTGCTTATACAACAATCCATTCTAGTTTGCAATCATTACACCAAATATTATTCCTCTTTAGCTACAAATCCTGCCTTCCCATGTCACATCGCCATGACATCCAGAAACGAAACCGGCTGGACCGCTACCGAATTAGAAATACCCTCAAGCGTTTCTTAAAGAAGCTTGGCAACTGCTCCGTAGATGAGTGCAGCCTGAAACTCAAGTACCTGATTGAGCTGTCTGGCATTGAGCCTTCTGTTGGAACGGAAACCTTCCAAGTGAATCATTCTTCCTCCCATCCAAAGTCAGACTTCTCTCTTGTGCGGGTCACAGGGGAAACAGGAATCCAAACCGCTGGAAGTATCAATAACAGCCAGGTAAGATGACTGAAGAAGATCGAGTTTAGTTTGTAGTTGGTTAACTGCTATCATTTTCCTGCTTTAATATCTCTACTACGCTACTAAACAGATCAAAATGCTATTTGGTTGATAGGTTTTGTCAAGAGTTGAGTGGCAGACCTTCTGTGATTTTCAAGAAATCATTGACATCAGTATACAGCGGGTATGCCATGAGCAGGTTCCCCAAGACAGCAGGATGGTGACTATAACACGAAAGGATGACAGCTGCTTGGTAAAAAAAACAACATATTTTACACTTAAACCATTGCAATATATATATATGTGTGTGTATATATATATATATATATATATATATATATATATATAAACACCCAGCACGCCCCTGCGGGCAGTTTATCCTTCAAGCTCGGGTCCTCTACCAGAGGCCTGGGAGCTTGAGGGTCCTGCGTAGTATCTTAGCTGTTCCCAGGACTGCGCTCTTCTGGACAGAGATCTCCGATGTTATTCCCGGGATCTGCTGGAGCCACTCGCCTAGCTTGGGAGTCACCGCACCTAGTGCTCCGATTACCACGGGGACCACCATTACCTTCACCCTCCACATCCTTCTTCCTGATATTGCTGTCATTCGGAACCGCTACATCGATCACTACGGCCGTCTAGTTCTGTTTGTCTACCACCACTATGTCCGGTTGGTTAGCCACCACCATTTTGTCCATCTGTATCTGGAAGTCCCACAGGATCTTAGCTCGGTCATTCTCCACCACCCTTGGGGGCATCTCCCATTTTGACCTCGGGACTTCCAGGTTATACTCGGCACAGATGTTCCTGTACACTATGCCGGCCACTTGGTTATGGCGTTCCATGTATGCCTTGCCTGCTAGCATCTTGCACCCTGCTGTTATGTGCTGGATTGTCTCTGGGGCATCTTTACACAGCCTGCACCTGGGGTCTTGCCTGGTGTGATAGACCCCAGCCTCTATGGATCCTGTACTCAGAGCTTGTTCTTGTGCTGCCATGATTAGTGCCTCTGTGCTGTCTTTCAGTCCTGCTTTGTCCAGCCACTGGTAGGATTTCTGGATATCAGCCACCTCCTCTATCTGCCAGTGGTACATACCGTGCAGGGGCCTGTCCTTCCATGATGGTTCCTCGTCTCCCTCCTCTTTCTTGGGTTTCTGCTGCCTGAGGTATTCACTGAGCACTCGGTCAGTTGGGGCCATCTTCCCAATGTATTCTTGGATGTTCCTTGTCTCATCCTGGACTGTGGTGCTGACACTCACCAGTCCCCGGCCCCCTTCCTTCCGCTTAGCGTACAGCCTCAGGGTGCTGGACTTGGGGTGAAACCCTCCATGCATGGTAAGGATCTTTCTTGTCTTTATGTCAGTGGCTTCTATCTCCTCCTTTGGCCAGCCTATTACCCCAGCAGGGTACCTGATCACGGGCAGGGCGTACGTGTTGATGGCCCGGATCTTGTTCTTACCATTCAGCTGACTCCTCAGGACTTGCCTGACCCTCTGCAGGTACTTGGTGGTTGCAGCCTTTCTAGCGGCCTCTTCATGGTTCCCATTTGCCTGCGGGATCCCCAGGTACTTGTAACTGTCCTCTATGTCTGCAATGTTGCCTTCTGGTAGTTCAATCCCCTCAGTTCTGACTACCTTCACTGTCTTTAATATATATATATATATATATATATTACCGTTTGGATGTAAATATGAACAATTTAAAAGCTATTCGCATCAAATTAGTGTCCTCGGGCAACTGTATCCCTTCTACTTTTGTATTGCTTCTCCAAAGCTCCCTGTTCTGGCTACGTGGATGACATTTGGCTTGCTGGGGTGGGAAAGTTGCAAATTTGTACCATCTGGCCAAAACTGGTCATGGCATAACACCAAACCTTTAATCGTAGATGGACCGATGTTGGTGATGTTTGTATGTTGAATAGAATTCTACCCAGACCATCTCTGGACCAGAAGTGAGAAATATTCATCAGATAATGTCATTTGTGGCGGGTGAAGTTAATGTGTTGGAGTCTTACAATTATCCCCATTCTTTCTGTGATGTGAGGAAAGCTGTTATATCCATAGGAAGTCAGTTAACGAGTTAGGACAAGTGGTGGACCCAAAAGTATGAGACATCAAGTTTCCATCACCACTGAAAAATGCTTTTTCCCCTCCTCATTCTTTTTTCAAGAAGGCTTTCAAATTTTGCTTAGTTGAAATTAATTAATACAGAGATAGTAGAGAGCAGTTTGTCTTTCTAGAAAGTCTAACAATGGTGTCCATTTCAGGAGTAACTTGACTGAGCATCATTGTAACACCCCAGACATTGGTTCAACTTTTAGTTTGGAAGTATTTTTGTACCATGACTAAGCAAACACTTGATGGTTATTCAGTGTTGTAATGCTTGCTGACGCTGTCAAACAATGGTCCTTTAACTTAAAGCTAAAATTAGAGAAGAGGACAAGAACACAGAGGGCCAAATGCAGCAAGCAGGGTGTGCAGTGAGTAATAAATGTCTGCCTACAAATGGTTCATAGCCAGAGGCCCAACTCCCGTGACTACTGATGGTCCTTAGGATAAATGTTGGCTAGGTTTGATCCATAATGTGATGTGGGAAGTCCATGGTAAGACTCCACGGTACACGTGGCATCGGTCAGAACGGGAGTTTGAAAACCTAACTTAGTCCCCTAAGTGGTCCAGTAATGCAACAGGAGACTAACTTTTTTTGTGTGTGACTACTTTCATTACAGGAAGTCAAGTTCCAGAGTCTCAAAGAGGCACTTTCGTTTGTGTCACTTGTTGATGGTTACTTCAGACTGACCACGGACTCAAGCCACTTCTTCTGCCAAGACATTGCTCCGCCAAGTATTCTAGAGGGAATCAAAAACCATTGTCATGGCCCAATAACGTGCGTCAATTTAATCATTACTTAATCAGACGCCAGCTTTTACACACACACCCACATACCCACCCACCCACCCACACACACACACACACACACACACACACACACACACACACACACAGATAGATAGATAGATAGATAGATAGATAGATAGATAGATAGATAGATAGATAGATAGATAGATAGATAGATAGATATATTCTGATTTGTTTTTATGCTGTTTGAGCAGATCAGAGTTTGCAGTCAACAAATTGAAAAAGTCAGGATACAAAGGTGGTACCTTCCTTCTGCGGCAGAGTCCGAAGAACTATGACAACTTTTTCCTCACTGTTTGTGTTCAGGTACAGATATAGACAAAAACCTTTGTTTAAATGTTTTTTGTCACCCACTTCATGTTAAAGAAGCATCTGCTCAATCCGATGTGCAAGAGTGTTTCCCATGGCTTACATTTTGACTCAAGTGTTTGGATTCTTGCTTCTGATCAAAAATCACCCTCTTATTTTTGCAGACTCCACTTGGACTTGATTATAAAGACTGTCTCATTAATAAAAATGAGCACTACAGCCTCTTTGGTGTCCAGAAATCATTTTCCAGCTTGAGAGAGCTTACCAGCCACTATCAACACAATAAGCTCCTGCTGGCTGAAGTACCTGTCAAGTTAACCTGCTGCTGTCCACCCCGACCCAAAGGTATGTTTCTTCAAGCTACAGATGACATTATCTGCCTTGATCGCCAAAAATACAAGGGCAAACACACAGAGAGATGTGACCCTGATACTTCATTTTGGCCATCTACTTCCTGAAATTCAGCACCATGACTAGACAAGAGGCTAAATTAATAAGCTAGCTTATCTAGTTAGCTAGGCGCAGTGAGTAAACACTGTGACAACTGGGATGCTTGTTTTCACTAGTGAAAAAGAAACATAAAAAGTACTTGCCAAAATAAGTTCAGAGCCAACTACCAAGAGTATCCTATAGTGCAACTTCTTTCACAGAGGAGCTGCCACCTGCTGGCCATTAGAAACAGTGCAGATTAATGGCACTGTAAGACTTTGCTGTTAAGAGCAGCAGGTTATGTCCATATTTTTTGACGGGTCTGTTACAGGAAAATCAAAGTGTGATTACATATTTGCATCAACTGCATGCCAATTTTTGCAATAGAGTACATACTGTTCTGATTTTTTTTTAAATATGAAATTGTCATATTACAGTTGTCTCATAATCTAAGTTTTATTGTTTCAATTAATCTGTGCAAGCTATCAATTGTAGCAGTAGAAACAAATGAACATCCACATGGTTACAATGTGTAACTGTCACATTCAGTATTCTGAACTACATCAAGGATATAGAAAAAAACATTACTAGGACACATGTACTGTCAAATCTACAGTTGCTCGACAATTTTCTGTGCACTCATCATCATTCAATTCTTGTTTGAGGTAATATATGTCTGAAAGATTGAAGATTTTATAAGAAATATTATGTTTTCTGCTGTTTTTAAAGAGCTCACAAATTTGATCATCATACGCAACTGCAGCTCTGTAGAAGCTCCAGGCTCTCCAACAACCGAAAGGAACAAATTCAGTCACATCCAGTTTCATATGATCAAATATGAGGACCTGAGCTGTGTAAGTTGATCTGCATGTTGTGCCAATCAGGCCAGTTGGTACTTCTGATGACTGTCAGTACAAAACTTCTTCTACTTGTTTTCTTCTTTTTCCATCTACTCCTTTTTTAGTGAAAGCAGAGCAGGAGCATTAATGAAAAATATACCTTTATCCTAACATAACAGGCATTTCTTGCTTGCTAGCTTTGGACGAGAAGTGGTGCATACCTATAGTGGTGAACTCATTTTTTAAACAGTAAACGGCAATTATTTATAAACTATCTGTATCATTAAATTTCTATTGAAAAATTAATGTTAACTCAGAGGTAGGCAACAGCAGCCCACTTCCCCCAGCTGCTATCCTTCATTTTGGATTTATTTTCCTGCATTGTTCTATTGGGGTAGCTCTTCAGCCCCATGTAGAGAGAGGGATTCTGGGAATCCAAACAATGCTATAGCTATGATGTCAACCACATCTCCAGTGGTTCCTCCTGCACCTTTCACAAACAACAGACTAGATGGATATGGAATAGTTGTTGGTTATTTTTCTTTGAATTGTAATTTTAAATTGTTTATTACCTTAACTTATTCCTTTCTGACATGAACAGTAGCACCCTGTATTACAGCTTCCATGTGTTTATGATATTTCATAACTGCAACAAGATTTGCAAAGATTTGCACAGCACCTATGTACCCTGTGAAACTGTCCTGAATTTCAGATATCTATCTATAGAGAGAGAAAGCATGTGATAGGGTGCCAAAAGAGTAATTGTGATAGTGCACAAGGAAGTCAGAAATATGTAAGGATGGTGTATTAGGACTGTGAGACATTGGTGAAGTGTGCAGTTGGGGTGATAGATGGGTTCATGGTGAGGGTGAGATTATATAAGGGATCGGCTCAGACCCCCGTATTGTTTGCTATGGTGATATACAGCTTAACAGATGAGATCAGGCAGGAGTCTCTATAAATTATGATGTTTGCAGATGATATTGTGATCTGTAGTGAGAGTGGGGAGAGGTGGAAAAGAGTCTGGAGACATTGGGGTGTGCAATGGAGAGAAGAGGAATGAAAGTCAATAGAAGTAAGACAGAATACATGTGTGTGAATGAGAACAGGGCAGGTGTAACAGCGAAGCTCTGAGGAGCAGAGGTAGTGACGCTAGAAGAGTTTCAATACAGACAGTGGCACGGACATAAGACAGGACGTGGAGCTAAAGGTGCTTGAGTGTAAGATGCTAAGATTTCTGCTTGGAGTGACCAAGATGGATAAGATTAGAAACTGGTATTTTAGAAGGACAACTTAGGTTTAGATGGTTTGGGCATCAGAGGAGAGATCGTTGCTATATTGGACAAATTATGTTGAAAATGGAGCTGCCAGGCAGGTGGAAAAGAGGAAGACCTCAGAGGAGGCTCATGGATGTAGTGAAGGAGGACATGAAGAGGGTTGGCGTGACAGAAGAGGATGCTGAGGATAGGGTGAAATAAAAGCAGATGATCTGCTGTAATGACCCTTAAGTAGCTGAATGAAGAACAAGAGCTGGCACCCTTTATCGTGATTTCTGGAAGACTGATTCAGAGTTGTGCTTTTTAACAACAGTATAATCATTAGCTGAATTTCATACGAAAATAGTTACACTATATGGGACAGTCCCAATATTCTGTCAGCTGACACAGTCACATCAAGGGGTTCTCAACAGGAACAGTCCTACACGAGTCTTCTTCAGCAGAGATTTGTTGCAAATCTATTATTCTAAGGAGACACAACTCGAGTATTGTGATTAAAATGTTTATTCTTTATCTCAACAATATGCAACGTATCTATTCACACTTTCTTGGTTTGAGCCGAGACCTGAAAGTGTAAATGTCTGCCCCTGCTTCTTCTACAACTGCTCATACCTCCATTACAGCTACAGTTGTGTCTTTTTAAATGAATAACGCTGTGGCACTAACAAATACTGCTAATGCTGCTACTGTGACGCTATAGCCACGGTAATCTAAAAAGAATCGCTGAGCTATAATGTTGTTTATGATGGATACTTTCCCAATCAGGACGAAAGCCTCGGTCAGGGCTCTTTCACTCGAATCTTTAAAGGCAAAAAAATCGACATTCATGACGGGGAGAAACGTGTGACCGAAGTTCTGCTGAAAGAGCTCGATGCGACTCACAAGAACTGCTGGGAGGTGACTTTATACATACCTAAGTATTTTTTTTTAAATGTATTTGTTTCTTATGACTAACACATGCTTTTTGACCATTTCAGTCATTCTTTGAAGCTGCCAGCCTGATGAGTCAGATTGCACACAGACACCTGCTCCTTGTATACGGTGTTAGTGTTCACGGAGCAAAGAGTGAGTTAAAACTAAGTTCCATGATCGCATTGACTGTTTTTGTTGTTTTGTGTTTTGTTGTTTGCTAGTAAGCCCAGTAAAGCTGAATGTTGTGTTGCTGAATGTTGTACAATCAGTGTTTCGACTGACACAAGTAGTTGTAATTTCAAAGCTGACAGTTATTTGGTTAACTTTGTCTCATATCATGTGGCCCTAGCTCAGGCGCTGCTCTGCGAGTGAGCGCTCTGTGTTTTGGTTTGAAGTACAGCTGTTGAAACAAACCTTGTTGTGCCTTTCAGACATCATGGTGCAGGAGTATGTCAAGTACGGGGCCCTTGACCTTTACTTGAAAAGGGGGAGATCTGTATCAGTGAGCTGGAAACTTGACGTAGCCAAACAGCTCGCATCAGCCCTCAACTTCCTGGTAAGGAAGATTTACCAATGTGGAAATGAGAAGAAGGCAGCCTAGAGCAGGCCTGACTGTAGATTGCGTGATGTGCAAATAAATGTTATTTAAAATGTCATGTTTTACCAGGTATTTTAAAATACATAATTGCTGTGAACAGTAGAATTAATGCAAAGGATGAAGTGTTTCCTAATAACACTAAACAAGCAAACAGGTATTTTTCTGTCCTGCTTACTTTGAAATGTAGTTGCTAAAATCACATGTAACCCTCGTACAGGAAGAGAAGAACATTGTTCATGGAAATATCTGTGCCAAAAATCTGCTGCTGGCCAGAGAAGGTGACCCCTCTCAGGGGAGCTCTCCTTTCATTAAGCTGAGTGATCCGGGCATCAGTATGGCCATGGTGGGCAAAGATGGTAAAGCCTTTTTTTTTTAAATTTAAATTGACTGATTATTTACTGTAATGTATGTATCAGCATTTCTTTATGCAATGGTAACCAATTTTAGCTTTATTCATTTTACTTTATACCCATTAACATGCCTTACAAAATAAAGGATACTTTTAGCTGCTTCCTTATAGCCAAACAAACAAATAGATGAAGAAACTTAATTAATAGAGTTGTCGTTTCTCCAGTCATTCTGGACAGGATCCCCTGGGTGGCCCCCGAGGTGTTGGGCGCTCCAGAAAAACTGACCCTCGAGTGTGATAAATGGAGCTTTGGCGCCACAGTGTGGGAAATCTTTAACAATGGAAACTCCCTGCTACGAGGCTGGAACCTAGATCAGGTAGATTATCGTATTCCCTGATCTGCAGTTTGTGGTTTTGGAAGGCTTTAAACACTCTAAACTTTTTAGCTGTCTGGGTCAGTGTTACATGATCCCTCAAAGCTCATTGCTGTTATGCAACAATTGCAGAAAATGCCTAAACTAGAGGACTCTGTGTGTGAGTTGTAGCTCTGGTTTTGGTTCATAAAGTTCAACATGCAGAAAAACTGATGCAGTTCAGAATATTATATTAACTTTTCAAGTTGATGTAAATAAAATGCAACACTGTGAAAAGACTACTGAGAATACTGTGTAGATTAAATGAAAATTGCACTTCCTTTTCTGTGAATTTTCAGTCGTTAGAAAAATTGTTGTACAAACATTAAATGGTGCTATGTGGTGCTAAATGTGTTGTGTTTGTTTTTGTTTTTATTTGCAGAAGAAGCAGTTTTATGAGAGTTTCCAGCAGCTGCCTCCCTCTCAGTGGACAGAGCTAGCAGATCTGATCAGTCAGTGTATGGACTACCAGGCAGACTTCAGACCTTCATGTCGCAGTATTATCCGTCAACTCAACAGTCTCATCACTTCAGGTAAAGATGCGTACCATACTGTTCTGGTAATCAGCTGACACATACATGTTAAAACTGTCCTTTAAAACATAAATTAATTAGATAAATAAAATTAATTCAGTTAATACCACAATACTTTGACTAACTTTTTGTATCAGATATAATCCTTAGAAAAGAAGACATAGATAACAAATTATGGTGTTTTATGAAATGTAAATAAAACAGAATCCATGATTTGCAAATCTTATAAACCCGTATGTTATTCAGAATAGAACATAGAAAACATAACTGATGTTTAAAGTGAGACATTGTATTACTTCATGAAAGATATGAGCTGATTTAGAGTTTGATGGCAGCCAAAAATCTCAAACAATTTGGAATGCAAGTGACAAAAGTCAGCGCTAATAAAGAACAGCATCCTAAAGAGGTAACATTTCTCTGAAGTGAAGACGGGTGGAGGTTCACCAGTTCTGCAAAAAAATACCTCTACAAATTATGGGTCAATTTCAGAATAATGTTCCTCAATATAGAATTGCAAAGACTTTGAATATGTCATCACATGATGCCATCAAAAGTTTCAGAGAATCTGGAGAAATCTCTGTGTGCAAGTGACAAGGCCTAAAATGAATATTGGATGCCAATGATCACGCGGCACTGCATAAGAACAGGCATGATTCTTTCATTGAAATAACTGCACGGGCTCAGGGACATCTCCAGAAATCGCTGTCTGTAAAACACAATTAACTCTGTCATGCAACTTTATAAAAAACAAAGTTATACGTGAACATGACCCCGGATCATCATCTTCCCTGGATCAGAGATCATTTAAAACAGACTTTGAAATTCTTTTCGCAAAAGTGACCCGAAATAGGCACTCTGGTGGAGTTACTTTGTGTGTGTGTGTTTATAAGTAGTTTTAAACCTTGTGATCCACAAAACAGCATAAGAGTAAAAGAGTAAAAGAAGAACTGACTGCGTTACAGCACCCGCTGCTTGTTGAGAGTAAAAGCGATACGCGCTTTCACGTCTTTTTTTAGCGACTTTTCTTTAGAAAAAAAGTCGCTAAGGGGTCTGAAAACTCGCTAAATATAGCGACAAAGTTGCTAAGTTGGCAACACTGCTTGGCACTTGTGCAGGTGAAGCCAAAGGGAAGATATGCTTCACCATATTTTCTAGTCTTTGGCTTAGAATGAAGTTGGTTTGGAAACATATTCAGCGATGCTTCATCTCCTGCCCTGTGTGGGCGCCCCGTCAAAAACCTGTCCATTATGTTAGCAGTGTCCAAGTGTTTTTTGTTTTGTTTTTTTCCTTTTCATACCCCCCCCCCAGGGGACGGGCCCTACACTTTGGGAAGCTCTGAGATAACACAATATAAGTATGTGCATTTCAAAAAATGCTCTAATATACAGTAGTACAGTGAACCTTTTAAATGTAAATTATAGAATAGCAAAGAGAAATCTTTGTTTGTCCTTGTGTTTGTGTGTCTGTGTGATTCGTCCAGGGGTAGCTGTTAAACAGACTACTGTTGCTACCAATAGCTGTTTTCCAAATGGATGATGTTTTAGGTATTACGCTGAGATTCACTGAAGTGAAAATACTGCTGACTGCTAACGTTGCCTTGTTTTTTGCCAGACTATGTGATACTTCATGCTACCGAACCTGTCACACAGAGCCCCGTGTGCAGATCTTACAGCCACCCTCAGCACGACCAGACATTGTTTGAGGAGAGATACTTGCGCTACATCTCCCCTCTGGGAAAAGTAAGTGTGAGGTGACATATAATGGACAGAAGCTTTAAACTAAATAAATGTGTCAAGCTGATGTTATGCTACACAAGCAGGACCTACTATTTGTGCTCATTCTTTATCCGTCTCTTTCATGCATCTACTTTAACTTCAGTTTTTACCTGTGACTTAACACATTTGCAGGGGAACTTTGGCAGCGTGGAGCTTTGCCGTTATGACCCGCTGGGTGATAACACTGGTGAGCTGGTGGCTGTGAAGAAGCTGCAGTCCAACAAGCAGTCAAACCTGGAGGACTTCCAAAAGGAGGTCAACACCCTCCACGTCTTACACTGCGACTACATCGTCAAATACAAGGGAGTCTGCTACAGCATGGGTAAAAAAAAAACCTAAACAATAATAAAATGATCTGCCCCCTGCTTAGACTGTAAAACTCTTAGCTCTCCCTTTCCTGTTTTATAAATGAACTCATTAAGGATTGCTGTGCCACTTCAAAAACATGTTTAAGGTGACTTGTATGACTTTTTTGTAAAAGGTGTAAATGTAAGTGAACCAAGCAAAAGAGCTCGTTGCACTTACTCATTTCCTCTTAAAGCATGAAACTCACACATGTCTCTGTGTTTCAGTGACAAAGATTTGAAAGGACATTATCTGATGAACAACGTTATGGCTTGTCTGTTCACAGGTCGCCTCAGCATGAGTCTAGTGATGGAGTACCTGCCCTATGGCAGCCTTATTGGCTACTTAGAGAAGAACAAACACAACATCAACACCAGGCGGATGTTACTATTTGCTTCTCAAATTTGTAAGGTGCGTGAGCTTGCAAAATGTTAAAAATATGACCTCTGCTATATGGACAGGAATTAATTGTTTGCCCACACAATCATAAATGAGTATCGACTGCACATTCTATGACTTGAAAGTCTTTTGCTTTAACGTGTGCTTGACCTGCTGCTTTTGATAAAGATGATGAACATGTCTTCCCAAGCAAGTGTAAACCAGCAGGATTTAAAGCTGCCTGTGACGCAGCAGGATTACAGATCTGATTGGGCAGGATCTGAAAATTGACGTGACATATGTGAAGCCATTCCTGAACCAGTGCTCACGTTTTCCCTAAGGACCCCAAAGCGCTTTACACATCCAGTCATTCACCCATTCACACACTGGTGATGGCAAGCTACATTGTAGCCACAGCCACCCTGGGGTGCACTGACAGAGGCGAGGCTGCCGGACACTGGCGCCACCGGGCCCTCTGACCACCACCAGTAGGCAACGTTTGAAGTGTCTTGCCCAAGGACACAAACTGTCCAAGCCGTGTGTGTGTGTGTGTGTGTGTGTGTGTGTGTGTGTGTGTGTGTGTGTGTGTGTGTGTGTGTGTGTGTGTGTGTGTGTGTGTGTCTAATGCAGAATATTTCTCTCTGCTGTGTGGACCGGTTCAGTTTTGGCAGTTTATTCTTATCTGCTGTGTAACGATGACGCACATTTTAGAGTTGTATTAGAAGGTGACAAGAAGAATTAATAGCTAAAAATATTTACCTTCTAATACCATATAGCTTATTATATTTCCCCCACAGACACACACAAATACATAGACTTTCCACAGTTCTACGTGTTGCAAATCTTTAAAAAAAAAAACTTAAAACACAGAGGGAGATTGACAGAGCTAAAAATAAAAGTGTCTTTCGTTTGTTTCTAATTCTGTCAGGGGATGGAGTACCTGCAGAGCCTGCGTTATGTGCACCGAGACCTTGCAGCCCGAAATATCCTTGTAGCCAGTGAGACGCTGGTAAAAATCGCTGATTTTGGGCTGACCAAGGTCATTCCACATAATAAGGACTACTACCGTGTCACCCAACCAGGAGAGAGCCCCATCTTCTGGTAGATTTCCACTAGTTTCACCAATAAAAATCTAATAACTGCTTTTCAATGAATCAGCTACTTTCTTGTGTCGATGGTGTGGTTACTAGCTGTTAATACTTCCTAATATGACTAAATGAAAGACACGAATAAAACCAAACATGAGACAGTGCTTATTTTTAAAAGAAATGCTTCTCAGAAAAAAATATGTAATGTTGAAAAGTGAAGCATAAGCTATGAGATAGATTTCCTCTGCTTGAAGATCACAGTTGCCCCATTACTCGGGATTATTCTGTGCTCTAATGGTCATGCATTTACTGCAGGTATGCCCCAGAGTCCATCACTGAGTCCAGATTCTCCCAAAAATCAGATGTCTGGAGTTTCGGGGTTGTTCTTCATGAAATCTTCTCTTACTGTGATATAAGTTTCAATCCAAAAAGAGTAAGAAAATGTACAATTGTTACAAATGTGTCTGGAAAATGCTTCAGCTTAAATATGGATTCCCATGGCTTACTGTTTTGTTTCAGCTTTATATGCAGGAGATTGGGCACAACGTGCTGGGTACATCCATTTCAGTGCATCTGGCAAATCTACTGAAGGGTAACTGGAGGTTACCACCACCTTTAAACTGCCCGCCCAAGGTACGTTTGCTCTGTGCGGTCGAAACTGTAGTTTTTTCGGAATACTTTTTGATCTTTGCTATTGTGAGTAAATCAGACCTTTGGAGAAACGACTTTCTTATCTGTCTTACATCAGCAATAAAGTAATTTCCCTTCTATCCTTTTATTACACAATGTTTATCCTTGCTCATATTACTTTCATTGTAATGCCAGGTGTACCTTATGATGAGGCAGTGCTGGGCACATGACTTTGATGAGCGTCCATTTTTCTCCAACCTTGGAAACGAAATTGAAACTATGATCCAGGATGAAAGAGAGAACTCTAAAGGCTGACGAGGATACAAGATACTTACTCTTTGTTCAAAAGGAAATCAAGTTTAAATGAGTACATGTTCACAAGTTCTCAGGAGTGAACATCCAATTATGGGAGTATGCGCAGGCTGACTTATTTATGATAGATCTCTGGGTACACTGGTTCTGATAAGCTCTACTTAGGCTCTTTCAAGTTGATATCACAGCAAAGCCTAGGTTATTATATTTTTATATTTTTTATATTTTATATTTTTCCAGTTTTCACTCTGAACTTTTTGCAGAGATTTAATGGTTGCTAGAGATTGCTAGTTTTTTGTTTGTTTGTTTTTTTTTTGGGGGGGGGGGGGGGGGGGGGGGTTGTAAGTGTTTTGTAGCTCAGAACGTTCACAACGTTTTAAAAGTAGATGAAAAATATATGTTACCTGGATGTAACTTTAGTTCTCTGTGTTCATGCGTTGATCGCACTTACGAAAGCAGCAAAGCATAAATAAAGCTCTTTTCCTAAATCAAAATGTGTTTTTTGAGATGAGCGGGAGAAAGACAAGCTGGACAAGCTTATATAAAGCTAATAATAATAATAATAATAAGTTTATGTGGTAAAAAAAAAAAAATATATATATATATATGTATGTATTAGAGATGGACCGTGTGTATTTGTAGCCTCGCTACCAATCCAGCATTTCATCTCCGAGGAAGTGATCCCAGAGAGAAGTAAAGCAAGTGTGTAACTTCATCTCTGAATGTTTATAAAGCATTCCAGCGTTAAGCTTAACAACGGATATATGGAGCGACTGCCTCTCTCTCTCCCTCTGCTCATAGCTGGACTGGCCATCGGCCCACCGGGCAATGGTGATTTTTCGTTTTTATGGGCCGATGATTTTTTATTTTTTTCTGTTAACGGTATAAATAATGAAAGGTGGTGGATTGGTCAGATGCTGGCCAGTGTGTAAAAATAACTCAGTTGTTTGGGGGTGGCTATCACAGAGCTTCCACAGATTCAGTAACATTAGCAAGTGGTGGAGGACAGCAGGTGGATGAGGGAAAGGGGAGGCAGGAGGAGAGATGTCAGTAGTACAATCATCCAGCGACGAGAGGATCTGTGTTCCAGCCTCAAATAGTGCTCCCGGTGATGACAGGTGATTGTTGTCAGGTGTGTGTGTGGGCCAAGGGCGGGAGCCCACAGTGAGCTCCGCCCAGGCAGAGAGGGAGAGAACAGAAACAGCAAATGTAGCCTTGTGGGGCCGACCGGGCAGGCACGGAGACCATGACAGCGCCAGAAAGAGGAAACCAGCGGATGTCGTGTTAAACAACAGCTGCAAGTTTAAGCTTTATCAGCTGTTGTTAGAGTTTATTTAATATTAATTTCAAGTATCAGCTGATGTTTGCTGGAGCCACAGCTGTAAAGCTGCTGGTCATGATATCGGTTTGTATATCTGGTGAGAGGGAAACATGAAGATGAAACCAGGAGATGTCCTTACTGAATCATCAGAGCTGAACAGGTGATGGAGAAACAGGTTTACCTTTTAGGTGACTTGAATGAGTTAAAGGGAAGTTATGAACTGTTTCTGAGAGACAAATAACACCAGGATCCTTTTTTACGCTGACATCTGGTAACTGTGCAGGGGCGGGTCTAGCAAAGTTTTGCCAGGGGGCCAGGTAGGGCATTAACAGGGAAAGGGGGCCACAAAGAAATACGTTCTTATTCTCGTTTAAAATGTCTAGCTTTTAATAAATAATTATCTGAATCTTACACCCAAAGTTTTAATCTGATGTAAAATGTATAGAAGTCCATTACTGTATATAGTAACTATTAAGTCTAATATACCCTAGTAAGCTGTAGTACTTTTTCCTTTGGGAAGATACCATCTGTGCAGTCTGCAATTCTGTTGAAGAAAGATGTTGAATCTATTTAATTACTCTTGAAAAATAATTGATTTCTGTGCATTTGTTTTCACACTGCATCAAATTAAAGTTGATTATTTTGATTAAGCATCATGAGGTGGGGGTGGTTCCCTATTTTTTTTTTTTTTTTGCTGGGAGTTTTAGAAGCCTATTAGTTAGGTTGCTTACTCTTTAAAATACCAGAATAGGAAGGATGGAGTAGGTTTAAGTTTTTTAGATTGATCAGTTTTGCTGAACTATTAAATATTTTGGGTGCAGTGTATTTTTTGCATACAGGTATAACAGAATAGCTTTAATGTTTGTTTGTTTGTTTTTTAACTTGAGTATGAACTTATACAAAAAGCAGCAAGATATTAAAAAAACAGTTATATTGATTAAAAAACTCACTATATCGGATTCATATCGGTATCGGCCGATATCCAAATTTATGATATCGGTATTGGACATAAAAAAGTGGTATCGTGCCATCTTTAATATGTATTAAGTATTATTTCAGAATAATTTGCACTTTTTGCTTTTGCCAGTGACTGAAGGAGAATGTAAGGCTGAAAAGCAGCTTGTTTAAGTTTTAGCTGTGTCTGAACGGGTTTGAAATATTACAGAAACTTAAGCTTAATTAAAGCTGCAAGCAGCGTTATGAGGGCCCTCGCACCCCCGGCGCGTCGAGCCACGCCCAACACCTAAAACCAGCACGTCCGATCTGATGTCACATTGATGGAATTCATGCATTTAACCACCAGCTAACATTTCAACTCATTCATTCATGATTAGTTA